TAATAGATTTAGACATTAAATGACGTAATAAAATATACATTAAGACAAGATAGCAAACTTACCACCTGAAAGTAACTCAACACGCAAGCATACCGTTAGTAAATCGAATGCAGCGTACTTACCAACGCTGGGTTGGTTCTGCTTACGTTCTTAGCAGGACCCATCGTCGTCTCGATGTTAGTCCCGAGTGTCCAGCTCGTGTCGAACTAGGCCTGCCTAACTCAGGCCCTCGCGACCCCATGTGCTACAACCCCATGCGCTCAACATCGATGGAGTACAGCCCATCGGCGGCTGTCGCTTCCGCAATTGCCGCTTCTTTCCCGCATGCACGAGGGGTTTCTCTTGCCCCTCGGCAAGTGTCTTTGTAATCAGATCGCGCCATGCACGCCGATCAGCCGTCTTCGATTCCCAACATCTGTAATCAACATTAGAACGTAAGAAGCTCACTTTGATCACACCCTGGTACCATAACTTCCCTTTTCCCACGTGCCGCTTGCCTGCACTCAGTTGGTCATACATCAGCTGTTTCGGTATCCGCGTCGAATCCATACGGCTCACATGACCGAGCCGCCGAAGATGTCTCAGCAAAAGTATGCATTCCACTGCATACATTCCACTTCGACACAACACCTCCGTGTCTGCCACTCTGTCGCCCCAACCAATGCGCAGAATCCGTCGCAGACACTGCTGATGGAACTGCTGGAGATATCGCATCTCCCGCCGGTACTTCGTCCACATTTCGCTGCCGGACAGCACCATGGATTTGTACACCATCAGCTTCGTGCCAACGATAAGCTGGTGGTTGTTTCACACTCGGTACTCTAGCTTCTCGAATGACGCCGCTGCCTTCGAGACGCGGATAAGAAGCTCACTGTATTGCTGTAGATCAGTCGACATCACACTCCCAAGGTAGCAGATGCGGGAGGTGGTTTCCAATACTTCGTCACCAATGCTAATTTGCGACATCATTGTAGATTGCACATCCGGTGAAGTCTGAAAGAGACAGACAGTTTTGCTCGTGCTGATGGTGAGCCCGAAATTGGGCGCTATCGAAGCCAGAGCAGTAGTCAAGTGCTTCATCTCATCCACGCTGTGTGCAAACAAAGCACAGCCCTCAGCAACATACGGATAGTTGTCTCACAGACTAGGGTTCTCGCACCGAAACGACGGATGTTCAGCAACCCACCATCAATACGGTGCTCCACACGAACACTGTAAGCACAATCCGCATCAAAAGCACAAGACATCATGACATGAAGATAAACATTAAATAGGGCAGGAGATAGGACACAGCCTTGCTTCACACCAGAGACAACTGCAAAGTCATCCGAGGTCTCTCCACTCAGCTGCACCCTCGCTCGCATACCACTGTGCAGACATTCAATTAAACTTACAAACTTACGCGGGCAACCAAACTTACCCAACACCAGCCACAATGCCTCGCGGTTCACCGTATCAAATGCCTTGATGAAATCAACAAAAAGCGAATAGAATGGCTGGTATCGTTCTCTGCACTTCTCCTGCAACTGACGAGTTGCAAACATCATATCTATAGTGCTGCGATCCGAAGGGAATCTATATTGATCTTCCGCCACGTTCGGTTCTACAATCTGACTGACGAGGCGGTTGAGCAGCAAGTTGATAGCACGATAATTCGTTCAACATTGCACTAAAACAGTGGCAGCACACGGGCATCCGTTAGCTCAGCAGGCACCTCCTCCTTAATCCATAGTCCATATTTCCCCGGTTGGTACGCGGTCGGTCTGCCGTTGATAGCGATTTTGGGTTGTTAGTTTTCACTTATCGTTTAGCTGACCAATCTGTTCTTCCGGTTTTTCGATACGCGTAACGTGCTATTGGCGCGTTTGCCGCGCCGTAGTATTGACTTCCTTTCACGTGATGGATCACCGACCCATCGCGGTGATCCAGAGTCCACTCGCGTGAGGTTTCCTCCCTCGGGCGAATCTGCTGCATTCTGTGATCCGCGGTTAGCCTGTCGGGCGGACTACACTCGGTCAACTTCTTAAACCCCATTCCACCCGTCCTACCCGGGTGTGAGTTAGACCCATTAGACAAAGCATTCGTGATTGGCGGGTCATTTTGAAGTACACGTTGTGTGGTGAATGGATAGCGACGCGCAACCACAATGAAGAATACGATTCACACGGAAGTGGAGGACCTTGGTCAATGCGATTACCGGGACCGTAACTGATGAAGCAGATGAAAATTTGGTGTACCCTGCCCGAAAACACTGCACCCGACAACCGGTTTCGAAGTTATTTGGTCTCATCAGGTAGAGATAGCACGCCTCGAACCCCGGAACAATGGGATGTTAGTTAGAACCTATACTCCTTCAACCAACGGGTTGCGACGGGCCATGCTTAACTGATTCGTGGGTCACTACCTAGTCGTTGTGACGGTGAGTCAAAGACTATTGATGCTACAAGTCCAAGAGTGAATAAGATCGATACTGCATGGGCAGCGTGAGGCTGAAATCCTCTCCACATGCGAAAACAGAGTCTAATCCAATAAGAGCAGACGCCACCATCGCGGTCAGTCACTGACAGTGTTTCTAACTCAGAGAAGCCCTTAACTGTCGCTTTGTGGTTCCTGGTACTACAAAAGGTCTCTACAATCCAGACAGAGCCGTTGCCAGCAATGTGACAAAATCAGGCACAAAGATTCTGCCGGCTGCCATTAACCAAAAAAGACAAGTCAGCCCCAATTCCCAACTCTCACAAACAGAAGAATTACAAGACGAATGGAAGATCATTCCGTTCGTTACCTACCATACTAATGCTACTCACAACCAGACGTATGTCATGGTTCGTAACAATGAGCGTTTAGCCCGCTTTCAGTTTGACAGCTTCGGACATTATTGCCAACCCGAAGGTGATCCGGTGCTCTCTTTGCAGTCATAGATAACAAATGTAATAGCAAGAGCCAATAAGACTCCCGGAGCCGACTCTGATGAGTCGCATTCAGCATCGGGGAATCATCATGGTATTAAAATTGTCACTCCAATGCAACTTCGGGGTCATAGGCAAAATGCATGGTCCGAAGCTGTCATAATCACTCACCGAGGACGTGTACCTTAGGATGCGCCAGTGAACGATGAAACGTAAAGTTAGCACCGCAACGGGTTACGCACAAAACCCACGAGGAAGAAGTCACCATCGACTTTCCAGCAAGACACACTGATTGATACTTTTGCTATTCCACCCGCAATCACCATGGACCTCATTCGATCGAAAGTTGAAGTCGGTATATACCACGCTCGTCAACGCTCTGCAAAGTTTAAGCAGTTGGAATCAAGGAAGAAAAGCTACAGGTAAAAGCTTTTTTTAGGTGCCGGGGAAGCCAGCTACTCGGAAAATGACCTAGTTTTCTAGATTTTGTCAAAAACATTCATTAAAGTTTTCACAGTCACATTTCTACTGTGCCACATTTTTGTTAACACTACCTATTCAGTTACACTTTGCAATTGGTCCTACTTTGAACCCTTCAAGGTTGTTGTGCAGTCATACATTGATCAGTTATGCAGAGGCTCCGGTTCGTGAATCAACCTTATGTTCGTTGGGTCACCGGAGTTTAGAGTGGAGTGGAGATAATCGCTTAACAGATACAATTTTTATTGATCAATAACGGCTATTATCGTTCAGGTGGGATAATAAGCAGTATTGAGCGATTGCGGATCGATAACACATACGTAGTGGGGCCATCTTATTGTGTTTAAACTCGAGTGATTGCGTGTGCATGAAGCGATGAGGACCGTGGTGCAGCCTCGATGTGGCGTCCAGAAAAGGAAGCTACAAATACTATCCGGAAATTTGATTCGATCATAAAAAGATGGCTGCGAATTGAGTGCGTGCGTGGCATATAATTGCCCAAGGCGAAGTTTGCGAGCCAAACCGTGCAAGTGTTCATCAGGGCCCACGGGAAAACTCGATTGCAAGACCGTTAACCTAGAGTTAGGCATTGAAGAGCAGCTTTGGCCGTTCGGGACTTGCCAGCAATTCGAAACTCCTTAACACGATGAGCTTCCCAAAACTATGACCCAATATTTCGCAAGTTGAGGCATAGGCCCCTAGACCATGACAGATGCTGACATCCAGCATGAGTAAGCAGCCACTTGCGATATACGGTGACACACTTTTCTCTGCATCACACGCCTATGTCGCACCGGGAGCCACCTTGTCCTTCGCATTGGTAAGCCCAATGCCACCAACCGGTTACTTACTCCGTTGGTCTGCTGGGACAAAGGACCTCAAGTATTCGGTTGTGAAAATTTGGACCGCGGGTTCAGGTTTCACCGGATCGGTGGGGAATGCGCAATGCTGAGAATCTCCTAAAATAAGCTTTGCCAGATAATGTCGGTTATTTGACTGGGTGAATTCCATTCAATCTATTTAAATCGCCCTACTAGTACCACGTAAACCAACGTATCAGCGAAGTCAGTCTCAAAAATGCCATCAAGGTTCCTTCAACTCGAAATCGGAGAGTTAGTTTGTAGGCTAGAGTTTACCAATAACTTGAACACACCAGGTGCGTTAGACGCAATGCAGCGACTGACCAGTGAAGCTGAAGAGTACGGTATCGGAGCAGAAAGACCCAGCAAGAACGATCGATATCCGAGTTGTTCTTAGCTTATTAGACAATTCGAGTGCTCCCAAGGTAGGTGACATGTGGACAGAAAGTGCGTTCACACAGTGCTGACATTCAACAGGGGGATTACAATGTATAAGCAATGAGAGAAACTGAAAGCAATGAGAATGGTTAAGTCCCCGAGTCCGAGGATGGTTGACTTATAGGAAACGCGTCAGAATTAGCTCACTGGGCAAAATCACTAGTTGTAAGAAACACGCAACAAGACGAGCGAAAAAAGATTACGTGAGATGTTGCACAACCAACAAGTACAAGCAGATGCAAAGTATGGTGAGCAATGAGGAAGTGCAAGGTGTCAGAAACCAGAGATCTGGAAGGCGCGAGCTTCCACTCACTTCGGGTTGGATCGAGTGCGGTAGGAAAAAGAATCGATCACCGCGTTAGCCAATTCCGGCGTGTTGATACGCCAAATTTTGATGCAATGGTCCATACCAGCCGTCAAAAGGAGGTCCCCGTCGAGTGAGATATCCCCGTGTAATACCTCTGCCCGATGGCCTTCAGCACCACCGAACACACAAACCAACACGTGACTTGCGATGTTCCAGAGACGAACCGTGTAGTCTGAAGTTGAAAATGTGGTAAATAGATTATTGGTATACTAACTATTAAATTGCAGATGAATAAAAGAAACTACCGTTGCATATGGCATTAAGGGGTGTCGGATGGATTGGAACCTGTGAGCAACGGTATCGATCGTGAGTATTAAGTGAAACGTTGGGTGGTAGATCTGAGGCACCTCCGGAAAGTTACGGATTCAAAACAGCCCACCCGCACTCTGCTCATTCCACTGCCTATACAGGGCAGGTAAGCGTTGTCCGAAATATCTGTTGAGAAATGCACTCGTACGCTAAAAATGTTCATTTTCTAGAGCGCTGTCAAAAGCAGTGATGAAAAATTGACAACCCAAGTAGGCACCGATCACAAGACATTGGCGAGCCCGCGGGTTTTCGATTCGAATCTTAACGAATCGAAAGGCATCGATCGCCCACGATTGATCGATCGTCTTAAAACTGACTGTACGTGATAATAGATAAAAGCTCGAGAGATGCCCTTGATTAATCGACTTGCCAAGTTGATTCGTGGTGGAAGTTTGGACTGATCCTACAGTTAAACACGACAGCGTGAAAATGCACCTGGAAGTTAGAGAGGATCGACTAGTTCACGAGTTATCAAAACACTCATGTGCGAGCAAGGGACGGGTCCACAGTACAAAAGAGCAGACAGATTTAGCTTGGAAGCAAGGAAGTTTCTAATATTGTCCGCAGCCACTTCCATATAGGGTACATTCCAGTTAAATTGAGTATCAGAAAAGTCATCTATAAGTTGACGGTAAAACAAAGGGGTGAAGGTGCGATGGATTCCAAACGACAAAAGAGTGCGGAAAATGGATCCGCCGTCAGCATGTTATCAGGGTAGATTCCTTTGAAGATCGTAATGTAGAATGATTCACAGAGACCCTCAGTCCATACGGAAGAAACCATATTCTGTAAAGGAACGGCGATTGAATTCTCAGGAGGTTCTCTTAGAGTATTGATGAACACGTCAAGCAGTAAAATAATGGTGGATTGTTGCAAAAGCCCTTCCAGATAAATGAAATGAAAAGACGAATTCGACTCAACGGTAACAGAGGAACTCTTACTCACAAGCTGTGTAAAAATAATGGATATCTCATAGACACGCTGCTTTATCAGTAGTTAAAGTTGAATAACGATGTCCAAATAGTTTGTAGAGTCCAGGCCCTTTGCAATTCATCTGAGGCAGATCAGAATGCACATGTATATCACAGAGGTGCTGCCGTGTGCTTGGTGTTTAGCATTGCGCAATATGTCTGATTTGGCTGCATTGGAAGCGAATGGTGACTAGGCGCCCACAAGAAATCGGCAACCATAGTTAGGTTATTGACATCAGAAGACAATCAATCGTCGGTTGTGCTTTTGGAGCACCCTCTGTGTGCTTTAGATTGCGACATGCAATCTCAAGCATGGCGTCGGTTGACGTTGAAGTCAGCCTCTGCCATTACGATCACTGGGACCGTAGCAGAAGTGGACACAGAGAGAGAGAGAAACACAGAAGCCATCCGCAATCAATCGTTGCTGGCAGTGACGGGTTGCAGTGCTCATCAAGACAGTACTGGACTCAGAGTGGTTTCACCATGGTACATGCCGCGACTTAGTCATCACTCTGCATACTTCCGGTGCACATATCTGGTTCAGTTTTGTAGCAGAGTTCCTACAAGAGCCAATGACTATGAAATGCGAAGAGGCCTTGTGATGCACGTTGTAGCTACAGCTTTTCGATCTTGTCATGACGCTGGGTTACGGTCAGGTGGATTCAATCACTTGTGGTGATGTTCTTATTGGTGTACTGTGGACCGATTACAAAATAATCTAGTCGTATATATTGCGGGGTTACAATGGGTATGGAGTGTTTAGGTGGTACAGCGCCGCCAAGCACCTATGCGTGTGTGCATACTACTGAAATGCAAGCCAAGACGTTCAAGTGAACATTGCTCGATTTCCCTCCAGTTGTTCAAATGAAGCAGAATAATTGTACACCGATTGACTGCGGGAAATGGTTGCATTGACATAGTAGTATCTTTCTGGACATGGAAGGAGCTAAGTATTTTGGTCAATTAACGAGCCGTTTGAACCTTTTGTTTTGATACCTGATTTCCACAGGATATTATTTTCATCTGTGCAGATAAACTCTGAATTATCATACGTCAAACGGTTAAGGAGACTCAAGGAGAAAACGTTCAAAAGTAAAGACCATAATGCAGTGAAATCGCTTTTTATTTCGACCAGGGAAGAGTTGCATCGTCTTAACCACATACAAGCCCAGACCAAACCGGAATAATAGCTGTTGGGAAACTTGGCGGATGCTGAAGCAATTAAATGGAGTCGCTCGCCAAATGCCGAACCCAGACATGGACGTGCAAGAGTTGAACCGCAACTTCTGCTGCTTCAATGTAAACTAAAGCAGCGATCAATCCTTCCTCTCCCTACCCCGAATGGACGGACCTACAAACGCATAATTTCTCATCGACAACAAAACAGCGAAAAAGGAAATGCTGTAGCTACATTTCAACAAGACAAGTGGTCCAGACGAACTATCTCCATCGTTCTCAAAGAACGCGCTAATTCGTGTGGGTATTGCACTGCTCTCCGAGCTGAACGATTATTTTGCAGACGTTTCGCTGCCAGACTAGGCAACATCGTCAGTGCGGCTTTAAGGTCCTGTTTCGCAGAGCCTCGTAAGCGACTTCGAGATCTATCTGCTTATTGATCGAGCTCTGCTTTGAATATCAGGCTTCAATGGACGCACGTGCCTGCCGGCTTTTGGCACTTCCGAGTATTTCGGTGTGCTCTAGGTCGAACTGGTGGTCTTCGGCATCCATATGCATGGACATCAAAGAATTCGGATGTTGGCGGCGGACTGCTACACTATGTTCATGTAGCCGTGTACCAAGCTTCCTTCCTGTTTGTCCAATGTAGTATTTATCACAGTCTCGACAGCAGATACTCAGATTACACCCGATGTCTCCAACTAGCTAAGTTTACCTTTCACTTTGAAAACTTTATTTCGAATTGTTTCTGTTGGTTGGTTGGTGGGCAATTTTGACTCCCAAGGGCAACGTAAGTCTCGCTGCCATTTCGGAGATTCCGTTGACGTAAGGCAACACGGCTCGTTTTTCAGCCGTTGTATTGGTTGATGTGTGTTGTGTTGCCTTATTTGGGGCCAAGTAGCACAGAATGAAGTCTTTTTGGTATGAATTCCGTTTGAACAGGCTGAAGAGATGGTCCTCTTCCGTTTGCCACAGCTGTTGCATGCCACAATGCGTCCGTGCCCGTTCGAAAAGTGTTAGCACGCAGCTGCGTTTGTGGACTGCCGGATGATCGCTGTTATGGTTGAGGATCTGGTCGGTATGTATTGCTTTTCGATAGACCGTGGTTTCCAGTGATCCCGAACCAGTCCTACGTAAGAGACGTCTAAAAATAGTAGCAGTTCATTGTCTTCCTCTTCCCTCGTGAATTGGATGCCGTCGAACACACTGTTGATTAGCACATGTGTCTCCTCTAAGTTGGAGCGTTTGAGGATGACGAAGGTGTCGTCTACGTAGCGCACCCAAACAATCGGTTTCGCAATTGGGAGTACTATCCGTTCTAGCGCCTTCAGTACTGCTTCGGCTACCAGTCCAGAGATCAGCAATCCCATTGGTGTGCGTCTTATCTGCTGGTAGATTTGGCCGTTAAAGGAGAAATGTGTTGATAGACAAAATCCCAACAACTCCATCATTTGTCCGGAGTCCATTTTACTACTTGTATCGGAAGCTGCGTGTTTCTCCAGTAGAGCAGCCACTGTTTGTTTCGGCAACTTGATGTCGATCGATGTGAACAGCGCCGTCACATCAAGAGACCAGTATTTCTTGTTCTATATTTGTGGTTTTGAGTTTTGCGAGGAATTGTTCTGCCGAGTTGATCGAGTGTTCTGATCCCTCAATCAGATGTTTTACCTGTCTCCAAAGCTGCTTTGCAAGTCTGTAGCTTAGTGTTCCAGGTAGTGACACAATGGGACGGAGAGGCATTCCTTTATTTACTTTTGGTAGACCGTTGAATCGTGGTAGCATCGAACCACGTGGTTTCATCAATTTATGTTCTAATTTTGTGATTCGCCCCTCGTATTCTAGTTTTAGCAGAGTGCGCTTGATGTTGCCTTCTAAGCGTTTTGTCGGATCTTCCTTTATCGGTTGGTATGTGTTGGTATCGCTGAGCAGATGTACCTTCATCATGTAGTCGGTTTTGTCAATTAGGACCGTTAGACGTCCTTTGTCGGCGGGCAGTATAACTATGCTCTTATCCTTTTTGAGATTCATTAGAGCCTTTTGTTCCGTGGTGTTAAATATGCTGGGTTCAACGTTATGACTAAAAGTCGGAATGCGCTTGTGTCTGATCTCTAGTTGTGCCTCAGGTGCGATGTTGTATGACTTTAGTGTTGATTCCAATGCAGCGAGGAAATCGATGGGATTGGAGTCCTTGACAATGAGCTGCATACCTCGGACAATGACTGCTTTTTCACCGTTCGATAAACTTCTATTGTATAGGTACGTAATCCACCCATCTTCTTCGCTATTCGGCTTCTGTTGTAAAATTAAATTCATCTTTTCAAGCTTCCGTTTGGTGTTGCAGTTCGTTTTGTGTGTTCTGACGCCTATTGCGTTTTCCAACTCTTCAGTCAACTGTAATGCTAGATCGGCTAAGCATATTGTTCTCTGTTGGTCAACCACCATTTGATATTTTCGCTTGCGATTGGGTGCATCTGTGATTAGCAGGCGCAGCATTCGCCGTCCATCATCATCATCATCATCATACACGTTAGCTAGAGGTGGGGAACACCTCAGCTACCGTGCCGAAATACAAAGAAAAAAAGAGAAATAAAGAATTCAACTGGGGCAAGCCGGCTGAGCTACCGGTAACGGATGGGAATCGTTCCGGTAAGCTACCAGCCGCCTACTTGCACCCAAAAAAACTATTTTGCAAAATTATATAAGGTTAAACAATGAG